ATATAAATGACGTGTTAAAAATCATTACATGAAAGGATTTGGCCTTTAACAGGTAGCAAAGGATTTATTTGCAAGGCAATTTAACACATTGCACGAACATGAACAATACAAAAACATGTCGTAACATGACTGATCAAACATCATGAAAACATCTGAGGCCTGCGCCCAAACCAATTACCACACTCCCGGTCAAAGTGCGCCATCTAATGGGGAAATGGGGGCATTACAGGAGAAAGGTTAAAATTTAATTTAATAATAATAATATTTGGACAAGTTCGGCGGGCCGGATTAAAAAGCCCAACGGGCCGCATACGACCTGGGGGCCGTACTTTGCCCGTGTCTGCCCTAACTGAATCTCAGGACCTCTTCAGGAAGATCCTGCATGGGATATTTTACCGAGTCACGTGCGAAGAAAGTTTGCAGGTCAAGTTTGCTTGGTCAAGTTTGCGGGTCAAGTTTGCGGGTCAAGTTTGTGGGTCAAGATTGCGGGTCAAGTTTGCGGGTCAAGTTTGCGGGTCAAGTTTGCGGGTCAAGTTTGCGGGTCAAGTTTGCGGGTCAAGTTTGCGAGTCAAGTTTGCGAGTCAAGTTTGCAGGTCAAGTTTGCGGGTCAAGTTTGCGGGTCAAGTTTGCGGGTCAAGTTTGCGGGTCAACTTTGCAGGTGGTAATAAACCAGAGCGCCCAGGGGAAACCAACACAAGAGGCCCAATTCCTGAAACTGCATTGAATAGTTATTTAAAAATGTGTATGTCTGGTATGTGTGCTATTCTTTTAACGCAAGGATATCATGCAGGTGCTATGCTTAACGCATGGGGCATGGCATGTTAATAGGGAGCGATGATGTTTCGTTGTCTTTATCCACTTGACCAATTTATGGATACATTTTAAAAAGTTGGCAAAATGTACACTCGGACACGTGGCGTACTATTTTTTTTAATATGTCACGGGATCTCAAGCAGTCACCGTTAAGCATAAGGGAGAATCTTCGTTGGTTGATACACTCACACTGTTAATCAGGGTGCGTGTCGGGTTCACACCTCTGCAACAAGCGGAACACGTGATATGTTGACGACCTCATCTGGTATGCAGGAATTCATGGGTTCAATCCCGACGCCTGTATATTTAGAGTTTGCATGTTCGCTCCTTGGTCATGTGAATTTTTTCCTCCAGCTCCTTTTTATTCCCCCTCCTACATTTACAAACATGCCTTTAGAGTCTTTGGCTGCTATACATTTCCACATGATAAGCCACGTCGTTGAGCTATCATTTGTGGTCAGGTCGCTTCTGAAAAAGAGCTACATAGCTCAGTGGGCCTTACCTGATTAAATAAAAAATAGTTTAGTTTTTAGATTTATACTGCTCGCCCATGTCGACCAGATCCATTTTCAAGCTATTGGATGGCAGGCATTCATTACCACCATTGCCAGTAAAAGCACCTTCACAACCCATCCGGATAACGTCGATGAACTGACGGGACACTGCGTGTATTTTATTTCAGCGCAATATAATGGCTCGTAATTGGTTATTTCACGTTTAATACGTAGGCTTTCGCGACCAATATCATCCATAATACAGGGTTTTTGGGTTAGATCGCGTAAATATATAGTCGAAATGACATACTTAGAGTGTAAATGTAATGGCTTGGCTCTCCAACACACCGGTGTGCTGTACTAGTGACGAATTGGCCACGTTCTGTTTACGTGACAACCCTTACTAGTTGGCTGTGTCTGTGGTGGCGGGTTTAACGCGATCTAACCCAAAAAACCTGTATGATGGAGTTGTTTCACGGCTTAACATAAGGCACGGTTACCTCTGATTGGGCATTGCAGAGTATTCTCACAGTTCACTACATATATTTAAAAAAAACTGACCTCTGATGTTGCTTTCAGGCTGCACCGTGTGCTGGTTGGCACGATGCCCAAAGTTTCACTCTACGTGCTGGCAGTTTCTTCAGGAATTGAACATTCAGTTCGGGAGCGAAACGTCAGACATTATGCCGACCGACACACGGTACGACCCATAAACACATCACAGAGCTCATACAGCACATTCGCGGAACCTTTCCCAGTCGGATGTTGACACCGCCAAAAAGGGATTGCCACGTCTGTGTACACAGCAATGAGGATCGCATTTTGTATCATGCAGAATAAACGCACCATATGGTGAGAGGCGCACTGTGTACCATGCTCATTGTTCGCATCGTGCGAGCTCATGATTGACAGCACTGACGTACCCCATTTACACACAGGCAGATGCAGGCTTTTGTCACTAAAAGTGGGGATGAGGTCGTGGGGCTTGGGAGGCTTGGGCCGTGCGTGTCAATGACATGAAATGAGGAATGTTGAGTAGAGCCTATAGAATACCTGTGTCACTGGCAAAGCCAGGTCGAAGTCTTCCCGCACAAGATGGTGCTCATCTTAATCGGGTGAGCCTGAGCTAGCAGTGGAAATTCCACGTTCACATGGTATGTACCAGTCTCTCCTTCAGACCACCGCTGTTAAATTCCCAAAGGGAATACGGAGGGCTTAGTTGACCCTCCCCTAACTGGGATTTGAACTTGCATGCTTCCAGCTGCGAGTCGAACTCACCGCCACAGCACTGGCCTGTTGCTGATAACAGTACGCCAGTCAATATACCTGAGATTTATAGGAGCATTATTACTACACAACTAAGAAACTGTTGTGGGTACACACGCACACGCCTTTGGTAAGCACGCCGCAGCTCACAGGCACACTGGGTGTTTATTCTGTGAATACAAATGCACTATCCGTGAGCTCACGTGCACCTGCTTTGTCTGAGAGAGTACAGCGGTTGGGACAAAGTCTGTATTGGTCCAACAATGCACACTTATACTGAGCAAGCACCTGCCTTCGACACAAAGATAACATGCACGTTAAATATACTGTGCTTTGTTATTGCGACTACTTACTGTGTGCATGCGTCATCCATGTATTTACCTCTTAAAACAGTTATGACAGCACCAACTGAAAAGGGCACAATATTACCCTGCATTTCCTGAACAGGAAGAGGTGATGCGTTTCATCTCTAAATCAGTACTTGACTACAATAAGGATAGTATTCACTTGTAAGTGTTGTTATATTGTACCTGAATGGTATTTTAAAGTATTTTTTCTGTATTTTTTCTGCTACTCACTTCTTTCAAATGTTTCTTGCCGTTGCTTTTCACACCTGATGATGACCGTTTGTGTTATGGTCGAAACGTCGTGAGAATTTGTATTGTTTTTTATATATTTAATTATTTTATTGTTTCCCTTCAAAGTGACTTTACCGAACGAGCTAAGAATATGTCTTCACTTTACATGTATTTATTTATCCATGAAAGCCACCCTGAGTCATGTGACTCTTTTTCACGACGGCCCTGCATTGGGTTTTTATTTTTAAGATGTTTTAAGACAATTAATAATATAATGAGCGTTTATACTATTGGGAAGAAACTGGAGCTCCCGGAGAAAACAAACGGACGAGGGTGCAACGCTCGATCCCCGTAGCCAGGGTACGGCACCTCAACGCCCATGTGAAGGAAGTTTCACGACATTTGTGCAGTGATCCACCAATCTTCACCTCCCACAGTGCTGGATTACAGGCGGTGCCCCACAATCGCCCAGCTGTCTTGCTACTTAAAACTAAGCCAACAAATCGGTGGACAGCCCCTTAATCCTGTGGTGGAAATTCCACGTTCCCATGACAATGGGACACTTGAGAACCACTTGGTGAATTTCTACAAAAAAGGTGCTAGCATACATCGCCCCCTGGAGGGATGAAGAGCTGAGTTAATCTCTGACCAGGCATCGAACTCACAAACTCCCCCACTGTGAGTCATGTGCTCTAAACAAAGGTTCCATCCGACCAATTCCAACCTTGTGGCTTTGGAGTTACGTGTGCTTTTCACCACTGCAGGTAAACCCATGCCAATTGAACAGTTACGCACCTGGCGCGTGTGCCAATCTAAACGCCCCTGGGGGAACCACCGCCCTTGAATTCGAGTTTTAAAACATACTCCACGCAGGCGTGTTTGCTCACAGGCGCATGTGCAAATCTGTAGAAGGATTTAGATTCCCTCTTCGCAGGATCAGTATAATGATAGTCGGGCACTAATTCATCAAAGCCAGTCAATTAACATCTATTGGATGTGCACAGGTCAGTGAAAATGCAGAGGCAAATTCCATCGACATATAGATGGCTTGGTATGTTAAAAAAACAAAAACAGCTCTAGCCCTGTCAGTGAATAAGGCATGCCGAAAAGTAGATTTTGTGTTTTGTGTGGTGTAACGCATTGACAGATGCACACATCACGCACAGATTTTGGATACTAAAGCTATTATTGTATAACATTGAAATGTTTTTCATAGCGGCGGGGGGGGGGGGATCCTGATGATATGCCCAGGCAAAATATTTATAAGTAAATAAAAGTGGTAGGCGCTGTGATGTAAATCCCATGCAACGGCAATAAATTTAATGCCAACGTGGTCAATCTGCCGCCAAAAAAAATGTTGAAAGCAAGACCCAGATAATAAACGTGACAGATTGTAGTCTCTGGGCCTGCATGCATGTACTCACAGTTTATCAGCCAATAAAGCTGCTTTAGTGGCCACATGCGTGAAAGATGCCCTCTGTACGCAGAGTGAAGAATTCAGCTCAAGGGGAACACGGACCTCACCCAGCGCTTAAACCACTTCCTCAACTTTAACCAGCACATTTCTTTTTTAATTTAACGTCAGGTGTGTTGGCTACTGCTAAATGTAAAAAAGCGATTTCAGTTAAGAAAATATATATTCTCGAAATGTATTATACTTATAAAAGGGCAGCCAGTAAGCCACGTGTGTTACACCCCATTGCCTACACATGCGCAGGTGAGAGTGACGACATTCTGGAAATGTTTCATCCCCACCCCCCGGGGTTTTTTGTTGTTGTTGCTAACTGCGGCACTAAGCCCCCCCCACCCCCCTTTTCCCCCTGAAGCTAAGTGGCTGATTTGTGTAACATCTCCCACTGCCGAAAATGACCTCTTAATGCCCCCCACCCCTCCTTGGCTGTCTGTCGACAATGGCGTGGATGGCAGCTTACGTGGAGGCAAAGAGATAGCGCGCGCTCGCCATCGGGTTTTGAGGCCGACCGGTTTGAAACTTTATCCAGGCTCTCGGGCACGGATGCGCTCAACACGCCCTCAGTGAGCGAAGCCATTCTCGTCGGGCGGGGGACAGTGAGCCTGCTGTCTTCTCTGGCATTCGTGGACATTGTGAGATCGCATGACACTCGCTGTGCAAGAGGGGCCCCATTGTGTGTCAGTTTCGTAGCAAAATTAAACGCACTGCCGTAAGACAACACTGCTCGAACACAAACAGGCATTTATTATCCAGAGCCGTGTCTGAACAAGTGGAAATCTTGATGGCTGGTAAATGTATTAACTCCATAATCCCCCGTTTACATAAAGCAGTTGCCCGCTCAAGTAACCGTTCGTCTATTCCTGCTTGGTTCTCCTTTTACGTTTCGTCCTCTCCTATTTGATTTATTCTCCAATGCTATGTGTACTTGTACGTTGTATAAATGGTACTACATTTTATTTTAAATATCGCGTTACTGTCTAAAAACAGCTGACGCGTACCTAGGTATAGATCTACTAACTCTGCAAGTTAATGTGGGGCAATTGTTTTGTTATTTAACGTCGACTGTTTTTCATCTCTATAGCTCCATAGCATTTTTATATTTATTGTTTATTATAAAAACAACACAATTACAGTTTAAATATATATTCTATATATTATTTTGAGCAACAAATACGTGTAGTTCTGTGAATAAGTGACAAATCTAAATGACTAAAATCTTCAATTAAAAACTTGAGCAACACAAGGAGCGGTATTAGCTGTAATTAAAGGGAATTTCGAGTTTAGCAATGAATAATTGCACGGTTAACAAAATGTCTTTTTACACAATTCTGAACAAGTTGAATACAATTTAATGGACAATCACTTTTTCTGTGAAACATTCATTAATCTTTCATTGGCACAGCATATCAGTTGCCCTGGTCATGTGACCAACGGCACAACGGTCGCTTTGTGAATGTGTCTGGTGGGTATTCAAAATCACTCATCACCATCATCATCGCCACCACCATCATCATCGCCACCACCATCATCACCGCCACCATATCATAGCTGTCATTGTCATCATCATCATTGTTGTCATCACCATCACTGTCATGTACACGTACAAACCCTTTGTCACGCCGCTGCTGGATGAGGACCTGCCCATGCCATGCGCGGCGTAGGGGTTATATGACCAGAATTCACCATGCTAGTCAGTGTATGTTGGTGAAGGTAGGGATCATAGACGTGGGAACACAGAAGTACACTACAACCATGGATTCTTCTGCTTTGCACCATGTATCGCCAAAACAGCCTATAATACCTGTTATGCCTGACGGTCGCCCTTCTCAGCACTATCCATGCTCAAATCTGCTTAGCTTCTGAGATCTGATAAGTTTGGGTGCATTCCAGGTGCTTTGGTTAATGGTGATTGTGATCATCATCGAAATCATTGTTATCATCATGATCATCACGATGATGATCATCAAGGTGATATTTATAAAACAACACAATTACAATTTAAAATATATATTCTATATATTCTTTTGAGCCACAAAAACGAGCAGTTCTGTGATTGAGTGTAAAACCTAAATGGCTGAAATCTCAATTCAAAACTTGAGCAACACAAGCAGTGGTATTAGCAATAAGGTTGATAAATGTTGCACGGCTGTATGCTGGTGCATCACTTATTGCAAATGAAAGTGTAGCAACGTGAAATATTTCACCTCTAGCACAGGACAATGAAGGGAAATAAATCCGTGCAAAGACAAATTCTTATTTGGCACGGAGAGATTTGTGATTTGACTGTGATTATCACTCCTATTTGAACTCCGGTGAGTTAGTCGCATTCACATTTGGTCACGCTTTGCGAATAAAGCTGTAGAGCTGGCAAATGAGTCTCGTTGGCAGCTTTTTAAGCTTCTGCCAACTCAGCCAGAAATGTGTGGACTAAAATCAGACATCTGCTGCCTTGTCCAGGCTCCCTGGTTTACACAGCTGTTCGCAGCACATGGGCCCACTATCTACCTGCCACTCCCGTATCTGTGCCGATAACGTGAACAGACGGCACACAGGTGCAAGGCACGTGTTGCTTTGAGAGGTACCGTCGCTTCTTGGCACAGGCTTTGGTGTTCATACGGCACCATCCGATGCCTGCACTTTGGCTAATTAATTTCCGTGGTGATAATGAGAGGTAATTATACAACGCATGGGGTATGTTTTATTTTGGTAAATGGCTGTTTTGGGGTATTTTTTCTGTCACCAATTCTGTCATTATTTTTCAGCCAGGAATTTCCCTTGCGGCAAGCAGTGAACTTTTTCCTCCCTGCGTTTCTATTCATCCATCTCATAAACTCAGAATTTAACCATTAATCAGTATAAAGTCAAAATTGTTCTCAAAACTTCAATTATTCTTCAAATTGTATTTCAGTAACGGCATGGTGATTTATTCAGATAGCGGCTGCATAAAATGTTGTGTGTATGTGACTTCAAGAGAATGTACTTTTCAACAGAACATCCGAGACCCATATCTTACGAGTGTGAATTCAAAGATTTTTTTTCAGACTCTACTAAGATGTGTACAAAGATCAGCACATCTTAAAAGATTCGACATTAATGTAACATTTCTGAAAACATTCATTTAATAATTCGAATCCACATTTGAAAAATGTTTTTGAAAGTATCTATAAATTTCTAACAATTAACAAATGGCAAAATGTAGTACACATAAAAAAAACATACACAAGTACATATATGGTATAATAAAAGTTATAGAATACATTACTATATATTATTATTTCTCTACCATGAAGCACCGAATAGGCACTTTAACGTGGAATCATATTTTTTGGCGGAAACAGTATGGTACCTGCAGCACTCTAATTCTCACCCAGAACTGACAGGTGAACTCACGGAGCGATCCATCATGAATGTTTTAAAATTCCTGGTGGATGGACGGCACATTTGTGTTAATGTGAACGCCTGTTATTTGGTACAGGCACTTTTCCCTTAGCAGCCACACCTGGAGAAAGGAATTTTAAGAAGCTGTGTTGGGACGCCTTTTGGGTGGTGGCGGGGGGTCATGCGGAGTGCTTCACTTAAAGTGTCCATTCCCTGTTCCACCCGATGACATTCCCTGCCCTTTGACCTTAAACAGGCATTCTCATTTAAAGAGTAATTGTGAATTATTAGTCTAGTGCCGGGTGTGGCGGTGCATACTTGTAATTAGGTCTGTCACAAATTCTGCTCCCTCGTGATGCAACGAATTGTCACAATTATGGTCACAGTCTCTTCGAGAACATATTCACTCTTTCTGTTTATAGAACATGTCGTTGCCTCTAGCGGCAGCAGGGATCATGTGTACCTATTGCATTCAAGGTAAATGGATCACACATGATCCAATGCATGCATCGTGAGTGTGAGAATCAATTTTAAGCCACGACATGCAATGCAGTGGCTTGCAGACAAGCTGGTAAGTCATGTAGCAATGGAGCTATATTACATGTGAGAAATGTATCTGCAGGCAATGCGATGATTGTATATCAAGCAAGGAGCTGACTTATCTCTCAAGTGTTTGGGTGTTGTCCCTTCATATGCCTAAGCTTTCTCCAGGCAATCCAGTTACACAGAAAGAAATAACAAAATACTTTGGCCATGCATCCCAAACAGGGCCTTATTGAAAAATTATCTTAGTAAGGCTTTCCAAAAAAATATATATAATTATTTTGTAGCCGTTTCTCATTCTAAAAGACATTAATTACTTGAGGACTTATTTCACATGTTTCTTATTTTTCATTTAGCGTTCATTTTCGTGCACTTTGAAGTCATTCCATCCCTCCACCATGACCCCTTCGTGATCCACATGAGTCCTTGCCTTCTGAGACAGTTGCCAAAGACTGTAGCCTGAATTCCACCATGACTATCTGTTAATTCCTGCACGACATCTATAAAAGCCTACCATTTTGCTGTAAAAGTTGACATTAGAGTCCTTGTGATATTATTAATCATGGCCCACACCCACATTTTTTAATAATTACATGCAATTATAAATGTGTAATCAATAATGCCAGGTCCCGCCTTGTGCATTTGTAAACACCCAGGTCTTCGATGTAAAGACAGATTGTATCTCGGTATTCCTTTACCTGGTTCTAAAGGAAGGAATTGGTTGATTGATTTTGTGTGTAAGTCGTGTGTAGGCAGCAGTTGTGACTCGCCTGATTGAGTTTCGAGGTTGGGTCGTGGGGCACTAGGAAGCTGTGTATTTGGATCAATCACAGTGAGGAAAGAAATCCACTCCTCTCCACTGGCTGATATAAAACAACAATTGTTGGGCACATCTAGTCCACAACTGCCTGTGTTGATATCCAATTTCCTGACGTTCTTTTTAGTGCGATGGAAAAACACACACGCGCACGCAATCTGGAAAAGTTGCTGTAGAACAAGAAACCTCAAGGTTATTCTAGGAGGCTCTTTAAGTGCATTATATTAAGCAGAGTTAATCATGAACTATGTAGTTGAAGGTTGGCAAGTGAAGCAGTGGCCACAATAAAGTGCAACTCCAACTCACTGATCTAGGTATAGTTTCAGCCGTAAGACCAGTCCCAAACCTGATCTCGGAGAGATGATGATGATAATGGAATTAAACTTGATTTGAAGCTTTCGTGACTGCAGGAATTACTCTTTGGTTATTTCGGCAAAGTCACGTATAAAGAAAATAAATTTAATATAATACGACATTTCGATTGCAACACAAGCAACCATCATCAGGTAGAATTAAATTTGAGAGAGAGACAAAACACAGACACGGAGACAGATAGACACACAAGCAGAGAGAGACAACACAGAGACACACAGAGAGAAACACACAACATACACATGAGAGACACAACATACAACATACACATGAGAGACACACAACATGTGTGTCTCTCTCTGTGTGTCTGTTGTCTCGCTCTGCTTGTGTGTCTGTCTGTGTGTCTCCGTGTTTGTGTTTTGTCTCTCTCTCTCAAATGTAGTTCTACCTGATGACGGTTGTTGCTTGTGTTGCAATCGAAACGTCGTAATATGATGGAATGAGTCAATCCAGCCTGTGATTTGAACCCGGGACCTCATGATTGCAAAGCCTTGCTCTGCTCTCCCACCTGAGCTATGTCCT